TGTTTCTAAAAATATACCCAGTCAATATTTTGGTATTTGGGACATTCAGCACCGGGTCCGCATTGATAGAGATATTTTCGATTCGCAATTCGCAGTTTTAACAAGATCCCCCCTAACGGTGACACCCACACAGCTACGTCTGTGACTTTGCATATAAAGATCGAACAATAGATATTCCTGGTTCCGGGTGTGAGGGCTCCATACAAATTATCCAGGATTATCCATGGCAACAACTATGCTACGGACTGTTGAAGAAAATGGATTACCTGTCACAATCTGTCACGTTGTGGCAAATAATTATGCTCTAAATATATCTCTTTCACAGAAGTAGCTTAACAAATATATTGTCACCAAACGACATGTCCACTTGGAACTGTTTCCATCATTATTTTCATACGCAATAAATGTGATTTTATTTGGGGTGGTTTAAGATTTAAATTACCGTTTCACCTAGATAGGATAATAAGAGTGAGGGAGGGAGTAAGTGAGTTTAGTTTTACGCCGCTTTAAGCAATATTCCAGCAATATAACGGCGAGGGTTACCAGAAATGGGCTTCACACTTAGTACCCATGTTCGAAATCGAACCCAGGTCTTCGGCGTGACGAACGAACGCTTTAACCACTATGCTACCCCACCGGCCAGCATAATAAGAAATACTTGACATGAAAGTATTCTTCATAGTGTATCAAAAAGTCAGAAAGTAGGTTCGGGTAGGTTTGACATGACTTCACACATCATACCCATGTACAGAATCGAGTGAGTTTAGTTTAACGCCGTTTTTAGCAATATTCCAGCAATTTCACGGCGGAGGATACCAGAAATGGGCTTCACACATAGTACCCATATGGGAAATCGAACCTGGGTCTTTGGCGTGACAAGCGAAATCTTTAACCACTAGGCTACCCCACCACCCTGTAGACAATCGAACCCGGTCTTCGGCATGAAAAGCCCACGCCATAGCTACTTGGCTTCCCTATCACCAGTTGCAATTATACCCTGGTCAACGCAGTGAATATATTTACATATATTTGTTTATCATGCAAACATGTCAGAAAGAAATAGTATGTTCACGACGTAATAGAGATATAGGTCTTACTTTTCAGGGCTCTGTTATTTCAGACAATGTTCTGATTTTTTGCAAGCTGTTATTACTTCAGGTAACTAAAGCCATTCAGTTTCCATACATCAATCGCTATGTGACTGAAATGATGCCGATGCGACGTCATGTTTTAACTCACTCACTCAATTCAACATCTCATAGTACTGCGGTTATAAGCTATGCTTACGTCGTATATGTTACATGTCGACATTAAAGCAATCAAATAATAAAGGATCGAACAACCATATTCAGCCTAAACTATGCACGAAACAGATTCCACGGGGCATAGACGAGAAACTGACATCGTAAATTATAGGAAGGGGTCACTGAATATATGTAATGCCATGGTATGTTTGCCTGGAGGTAAGCATGTCTTGCCCACCGGTACCACTCGCTACTCACACAACTGCCATAAAATGGAAAGCCCTGTTTCCTGGCGCCACTAGTAGTTCTCGTGCTGGCGGGATGTAAACAAAACAGACAACTTAGATGAAAACCCCAGATACAAAATCAAGAAATGAAACACGCGAAACATTCACACAAACAAAATAATTTAACCAGCCAGTAATATTATAGTCGAAGTGATAGTTCATCTTTTCCTGATGTCCCCGACGACAAATCACACTTTTTGTTTTGAAGTGAGTGCTTGAGTTTAGTTTAACGCCGCACTCAGCAACATTTCAGCTGTATGGCGGCGTTTAGAGTGTAATACCAAGCACTAACGCTTTCACCTCCCTGCCAATCAGACGCTTCCATAGAACTATTACTACTCGTGGATGTGTGTGTGTGTGCGAGCACGCGTTTGATCACACATTTTTGTAACAAATGTCTGAAGCATTTATTTTCGCGTGGTCCAAACCATAATATTTTACCTACCAGTAACATTACAGTCGAAGTGATAATTCATCTTCTCCCGTGTCAGTGACTCGAGGCCTTGTTCCTGTTGGTTAACGCCGGCATTGTTCAGCAGCAGATTGAGACCGCCGGCACCAACAACTTTCTCCACCTCCACCACAGCCGCAGCGATTTCTTCGTCCTCTCTGACATCCAGCTTCACCACGTGGACACGTCCATTCTCGCCCGCTAACCGAGTCAACTCCGTGGCCTGGTCGGGCTGTCTGCAGGCAGCGAACACGTGGCTAGGGGGTTCCGCAAGACCCAGAAAGTGCTTCACAAACGCCAGCCCCAAACCCCGATTGGCACCTGTGATAAATACGGATTTTGGAGACAACTTAGACATGTCTGTTGAAGCGAGTCACGAGCAACAGAATGAGGCGGCCGCGTAAAGAAAGAGAGGTAACTGCGACGGTCGCCTTTCTAACCGTGACCCGATTTAATTTTCGCTTATCATTTCATTGGGATCGCAGATAATACAGCACATGGAATTTGTTATTAAAGCGATGGGCTCGTCACGCAGTGGACCCGGGTTCGTTTCCCCACATGGGCACAATGTGTGAAGCCCATTTCTGGTGTCCCCCGCCGTGATATTGCTGGAATATTGCTAAAATCGGGGTAAAACCATACTCACTCACTCACTTTCCCCAGAAAATATTTTCCCTGAAGAGCATTTCCTTCAAGCTTTTTATCAAAAGTAATGCTAAGAATTTAGTTGTTTTGAATTTTTATGTATGTTTTATTTGAAAAATAATTCTGGATCATTGCGCATTTTCCGTTAATTGCAAAAATATATACAACCCATTTTCCAGAGACCACTTGTACATTATATCGAGATAAAGTTTTAACTACAACAATTTACTCGATTTGTTTGTATGACGTGTGTGTACTAGATTTATTTGTATGACATGTGTGTACTAGATTTGTTGGTACGACACGTGTGTGTACTAGATTTGTTTGTATGACGTGTGTGTACTAGATTTATTTGTATGACATGTGTGTACTCGATTTGTTTGTACGACACGTGTGTGTACTAGATTTGTTTGTATGACGTGTGTGTACTAGATTTGCTGGTACGACACGTGTGTGTACTAGATTTTTTGTGTATGACATGTACGTGTACTAGATTTGTTTGTATGACACGTGTGTGTACTCGATTTATTTGTATGACACGTGTGTGTACTCGATTTGTTTTGTATAACATGTGCGTGGACTAGATTTGCTTGTATGACACATGTGTGTACTCGATTTGTTTGTATGACACGCATGTGTACTCGATTTGTTTGTATGACACGTGTATGTACTAGATTTGTTTGTACGACACGTGTGTACTAGATTTGTTTGTATGACAGGTGTGTGTACTAGATTTGTTTGTATGGCACGTGTGTGTACTAGATTTGTTTGTACAACACGTGTGTGTACTAGATTTGTTTGTATGGCATGTGCGTGTACTAGATTTGTTTGTATGACACGTGTGTACTAGATTTGTTTGTATGACATGTGTGTGTACTAGATTTGTTTGTATGACATGTGCGTGTACTAGATTTGTTTGTATGACACGTGTGTGTACTAGATTTGTTTGTATGACAGTGTGTGTACTAGATTTGTTTGGTACGACACGTGTGTGTACTAGATTTGTTTGTATGACACGTACGTGTACTAGATTTGTTTGTATGACACGTGTGTGTACTAGATTTGTTTGTATGACACATGTGTGTATTTGTATATTTGTTTGTATGACACGTGTGTGTACACGATTTGTTTGTACGACACGTGTATGTACTAGATTTGTTTGTACGACACATGTATGTACTAGATTTGTTTGTATGACATGTGCGTCTACTAGATTTGTTTGTATGACACGTGTGTGTACTAGATTTGTTTGTACGACACGTGTGTGTACTAGATTTGTTTGTACGACACGTGTGTGTACTAGATTTGTTTGTACGACACGTGTGTGTACTAGATTTGTTTGTATGACACGTTTGTGTACTAGATTTGTTTGTATGACACTTGCGTGTACTAGATTTGTTTGTACGACACGTGCGTGTACTAGATTTGTTTGTATGACACGTGTGTGGACTAGATTTGTTTGTATGACATGTGTGTGTGTACTAGGTTTGTTTGTATGACACGTGTGTGTACTAAATTTACTTATATTTGAGCAGTTTTATCCTATTGTATAATACTAGCCAGTCTAAATGGATGACATGTTAGAGCATTGCCACACTCCGATGCAATAGACCCACAAACAATCTACCATTATCACCAAGCCGGCTGGTTATGCCAGAAATCGCCTTGTCTTGGTGTGTGGGGGGAAGCCCAAAGAGATGCAGGTGTTCTACGTCTACCACGGTGGAGGGGATGATAGATATATTGTACACCAAGGAACATAATCGAGACAAACCAGGATTCGAACCCACAATCAGAGGTTTATCGCAGATACCAGCAACCACATGTCACAGATATGGATACTCTATAGATGTAGCTGGACATTTCCCCCAACTACGAGCGTCTGGGACGAAGCTAACCTTGACATCGATACTGTTCACATTCTAGCGAGCGGCGGGATAGCCTAGTGGTTAAAGCTTTCGCTTGTCACGCGGAAGACCCGGTTCGATCCCCCACATGGGTAAAATGTGCCCGTTTCTGATATTACTGGTATATTGATAAAAGCTCACTCACTCACTCACATTCTAGATAAATACACAATGAACACACCGTTGTTTATGTTAAGACACAACTGTATTAAGTTCGAATACATTAGCTAACAATAATAACTTCACAAATTATTAATATATTAATAACCACAAAACTTGTAGAGAGTACGTTCGGTGTATTTTGAAACCCAAAGCCCGCCCATCCGGGCCAAGAAGCGGTATGCCACGGCGTTCAGTTGGCAATAGAAACATGAACGTACAAAATACTAATTGTTTAGCCAATGAAATACCATTGTCTCACATGCTATTTTCGAAGATCATTTTTGGAAAGACAAAACAACAAAAATTCCATTTCGACCATTTGTTTATCTATCCATATGTTCTAACAATAGAATGTTTTGGAGAATCAATGATGAACCATTCAGAAATGAAACGAGATAAACAAATAAAGGTAATTGTTAATATATTTTCCTTCAGAACCCTAGAATGTATTGTTTGTTACATATAAGTTGACAACATCACCAAATCCCTGTTGCTATTAACCCCAAACGAAGAAAGTCTTCAATCTATGTTTAATGTTGTTGACCAGTGGTGTTTAAAATGGCAACTTACAGTGAATACAGACAAAACCAAAGTTATTAAACTACTCCTGTTAATTTTTCATGTGGAAGTGATAACATAGAAATAGTGGTAAATAATAATATTTGGGACTATGGTTCCATGACACTTAGATCTACGTGTTACAGTGAGGGAAACAGCCAAATCAGCAAGCCGGGCTCTGTCCTGTCTCCAGATACAGTGTATTGAAGCAGGAGGGATGACATACGAAACATACACAAAACTTTATGAAGCGCTTGTTCAGCCCGTTTTATTATATGGATCTGCGGTATGGGGTACGAAGGAATACAGCTGCATACATTCAGTTCAGAATAGAGCTTGCAGATTTTATCTTGGAGTGACTCGTTCTACTTCAAATTGTGCCATCCCTGGAGAAATGGGCTGGAAGAGTTGCCTCGCAAAACAACGCATCGAATTATTAAGACTGTCTGCAACCCTAACATTTGAGGACAGGAGTCGAACTCTATCAAGATCAGCTTTCAGTTGGTCACGTCGGAAAAGAAAATCTTGGGTCCATAAAGTTACCGCCCTTGCAGCCAAAATGTCTATAAACAGCGGATGTTACGAACTCTTTATCTACAAACTGTTTTATGCGCTATGTATAACATAGATGTAATGTTGTTGACGATGAAAAGTGGTTCAGTGACTTTTTTGAACGACAGAAATCTTCATCACGGAAATAAATTAAGAACTTACAAATAGTTTAAAAAGGACAGAGTTCCGATATTAGATATGAACTTTATAACAGTGATCTCCTAACTGACAACTTCATAAACTTCAACTCTACCCAAAAGCTAATAAATGTGATGCAGTGCACTGAAATACAACAAATCCTAGCGTGTGCGGTTTGGTTATAAGGGTGTGTATATGTATAAGTGGATATGACTGCGGACATGGATGTGTGTGTGTGTACTTGTATGTATTGGTATGAGTGTGGCTGTAAGTCTATGTATTTGTATATGTGGGTTTGAATGGGTTGTGGATGTATGTATTTTTGTTCATGATAGTACGAATGTGGATGTGGACGCGTGCTTCTGTATGTGTTGTTATGACTGTCGTTGTGGGTGTATGTATTTGTATGTGTAAGTATGAGTGGTGAATGTGAAAACGAAGGCAGATCCATAATACCTGTGCACGTGTATATGTGTGTTGTTTTACCGGCACTGATACTATGTGTGCATGTGTGTGTGCGTGCGCGCGCGTGTGTCTGCGTGTGTGCGTGTCATGTTTTGTATTTCAAATGTATGATTTTATGTAATTTACTTTAATTATTGTATCCATCTTACGTATTTTAATGATCTTTAATTCTCTTATAGCAGTGTATGAAATAAGGCCCGTTCGACCGCCCGAGACGAGCTAGATTTCTTCCGGACGGTCAAATTTTACAGCTAGCCAGCCCGATGGACGGGTGAAAAATAATATTCAGATAACGTGTCTACTGGCACTGTCTACTTAGTATTTAAGAAGGACTGGTTAAATCTCTTCTGGGCTGATGAGTTTTTGAAGTTACCAGCCCAGATGTCTGGCTGGGTTTTTGGCTTATTTCATACACTGCTTATAGCCTTCTGGCGGCTAGTGCATGCACTGCTCTATAAATTTATGTATACATATCTGTATGTACAAGATGAGACTGAAATAAACAATCAACAACTACTATATGAGCTCATCACATAAGCCGTAATTAATTACTATTCGGCGTTCCACTGGAAAACAGTCCCTGCGTATGAATACAGCAATCCTGACGAATCTTTGTTCATCGCTGCTATTGTATTCATACACTTGGAAATACTTTCTTCTGTATCTAGCATTGCGCTGGGGCCTCCCATGTCGGTCTTGACCCACCCGGGATGGAGCCCTGCCACAAGCACCCCGTCGGGAGAAACCTCTCTGGCGAGAATATCTGTCACCATGTTGAGGGCACATTTCGAGCTGTTGTATGGGTAGCAGAAGTCGTTCATTCTGTTGACGAATTTGATAAGGCTCAAGACGGAAGAGAAGTTGATGATGGCCGCTCTGCTCCAGCTGAAATCTGTCTTGTTTGCGGCCCGTCTCAGTAAGGGGAGAAACGCTTTAGAAAGCAACAGTGGAGCTGAAACGACATGATATCCAGTAAGACAACGTAACCATAATTTGGTTTCTAAAAATACACACACTCAATATTGTCATATTTGGGACATTCAGCACTGGGTCCGCAAAGTGGTATTTTCGATTCGGAATTTGCAGTTTTAACAAAACCCGCCCTAACGATGACACCCACACAGCTACGTCGGTTCGCGACAATGCATATAATGATCGACCAATTGATATTCCTGGTTCCGGAAGTGAGGGCTCCAAACAAGTTAAACAAGATTATCCATGGAAACAATAGCTATGCTCAGGACTGTTGAACAAAATGGATTATCTGTCACAAGAAATGCGTTGTGGCAAATATGTATGCTCTTAGTCTCAACCTAAATATATCTATTTTCACAGTCGCAGCTAAAAAAAATCTTTTCTCCAAAGCATCTGAGAATTACTTCTCTAAGATGCTTCGCTAAAAGATCAAAGGCGCCGACAGTACTTAGAAGCGTCTTAGAATTTGTATATTCGTTTGTTTTTTATATTTAAATTTTAATTTATGTTTTTTCTCAGCAGATGTTTACATGGTACATAAATATGCGTAGATGTTAACATGTACACAAGTATGCATAGATACATAATATTGTTCATATTGTATATGAAGTTATTTCCCAGCAGGTGTTTACATGTACATATGTATGCGTAGATACATACTATTGTTCATATTGTATATGAACTACCACTAGTGCAGGTTTGACTGTAACTGGTAACGTGGAAGGCATGTCATTTTCACATTACCAATTATTTCCCATCAGTGTGTTTATGCATAGATACATTGTTTATATTGTTTCATTATATATGAAATACGGCTAGTGCAGGCTTAGGTTTGACTGCATCTGGTAACGTGCAAGGCATAAGTCATTTTTACATTACCCATTATTTCCCAGCAGCTGTTTACTTGTAAGGTGAGGTGAGGTGAAATTGGGTTTACCGTCGTGCTTGGGAATATTTCGCTCATATGACGACGTGCATGCGTGTGTATGTGTATGTGCGGCTGCTTGTACTAGCCCAGACTTAAGCTGGTTTTATAGTGCTAGCTCACTGAGATACCATGCTGCAGTAAAGCATGAATAACCCACTCAAACACAGTATACTGACTCCGAGCCGACCAGTCCTTGTTGTACCCATTAATGCCGAGCGCCAGGCAGGGACCAACAAGTACCATATTTTAACGTCTTTTGGTATGACGCGGTCGGGGATCGAACCCGCGACCTTCCGCTCTCCGGGCGGACGCTCTAACCACTACACCACGGAGGCGGTCTGTTTACTTGTACATAGGTATGCGTAGCTACATAGTATTGTTCATGTTATATATGAAAAATTGCTAGTGCATGTTTAACGGCATCTGGTAACGTGCAAGGCATGTCATTTTTACATTACCCATTATTTCCCAGCAGCTGTTTACTTGTACATAGGTATGCGTAGCTACATAGTATTGTTCATGTTATATATGAAAAACTGCTAGTGCAGGTTTAACGGCATCTGGTAACGTGCAAGTCATAAGTTATTTGTACATTACATTATACTCTTTGATGTTTTCAATTGAATATTGAGCTCACAAATCTATAAATAATGTGTGAAAAAAGGACCAAAATGCAAAGAATTTGGACTGATTACTGTTTGTAAAAGCACTAAATTTGCATGACTGATAGTAACTTCATATTTTAGTTTGGATGCATTTAAAATTGTTGTTTTTTCCCTTTTCTGCTCATAGTGTAGATATTTTGTTTCATCATTATCAGATGAGAAGTGTCTTAGAATTAGTAGTACTGACGTTACTACGTCATGCTCGTCTGTCCCCTCATAATCAAACCCATAGTAACCGACACGATGACTGTCAGTTGTCATGGCCTCGTAAAGTCTGCAACAGTAAACTAGCCCGTAGCTCCCCGTTTCCTGCTTTGCAATTGCTTCACTCGGCTTACATCACTGGCGGAACCATTTAATGTTTACCTTATTTCGGCCGATAAATGACTCAGCTCAAATAAGAATTTAAACAGCCACACGGCAATGTTTGCTGACTGAGCCAGTGTCCACAGTCCCATAATGCAACCGTGACTCATCAACTTTATCTGGATTTACTGTTCTAAACGTACGTTGGTAACAGAATAGACTAATGCTTAGGCTCTGAATATATATAATTTTGATAGTAACAAACAAGCCCATTTATATTGAAAAGGAGCCCTAGGGAGACCAGAGATTCAGAACCTGAGGAAATCTAGACTTGCTTCGTTTAGGGCTTTAGCACTGCAGAGAGGGCTTGGCAGTAGGGAAAATAATGTGGTTCAGGGACTGTGAGACAGACTAGTAACAGAAGTGCGACGTCCATATTGCCCCACATGGTTTACGATAATAACAGCTGCACACAGAGAAGATATTTAACCCAAACGTAAACCATCTTCAAACTGTTTATCATTTGTTTTCACGGCAACATGCCTCGTACTTTAGATATAGTTCAGGGACAAAGTGTACTTTATTACACTTTACATCGGGGTAGAGCGAACTGTATTTCTTAAATATTTGTTTATCATGCACACATGTCAGAAAGAAATTGGTATACTCATGATATAATTGAGATATAGGTCCTCCTTTTCTGGACTGACTTATTTCAGACTGATTTAATTTTGGTGAGCTTTTATTACTTCAGGTAACTAAAGCCATACAATTTCCTTCCAACGGTCGCTATATGGCTGAAATAAGACCGATGCGACGTTATGTTTTAACTCACTCAATTCAACATCTAAAAGTAAAGCGGTTGTACATTATTCTTATATGTTAAGTATCGACTTTAGAGTAAGCAAATACAACTAAACGAAACATAACAACCATATACAGTCTCAACAATGCACGGAAACAGATTCCAATGGGCATTAACTGGTGTTGGGAAAAATAGGAAGGGGTCAAGTCAAGTTCGACTGTAGGTATGTCTTGCCCCGCCACTCGCACAATTTCCACAAAAAGGAAAGCCCGGTAAGGCCTGGTAGCAGTTTCTATTTGAATCAGCTAGAATTATTACGACACGTGACTTTGGATCGCACAGTTTTTGTAACAAATGTGTATAGTTTCTACTTCCGCGTGATCTAAACCATAATATTTTAATTACCTACCAGTAACATTACAGTCAAAGTGATAATTCATCTTCTCCCGTGTCAGTGACTCGAGGCCTTGTTCCTGTTGGTTAACGCCGGCATTGTTCAGCAGCAGATTGAGACCGCCGGCACCAACAACTTTCTCCACCTCCACCACAGCCGCAGCGATTTCTTCGTCCTCTCTGACATCCAGCTTCACCACGCGGACACGTCCATTCTCGCCTGCTAACCGAGTCAACTCCGTGGCCTGGTCGGGCTGTCTGCAGGCAGCGAACACGTGGCTAGGGGGTTCTGCAAGACCCAGAAAGTGCTTCACAAACGCCAGCCCCAAACCTCGATTGGCACCTGTAATAAATACGGATTTTGGAGACAACTTAGACATGTCTGTTGAAGCGAGTCACAAGCAATAGAATGAGGCAATAACCAAAGGGAGGTAACTGCCACGGCCGCCTTTCTAACAGTGACCCGATTTGATTTTCGCTTGTCATTTCATTGGGATCGCAGACAACGAAGCACATGGAATTAGCGATACTACTGATTTGCGATTGCTGTATCGATGTGGGCGTCATATCGTTATGAACCGTCGTGTCAGAGCAATATGCACAGGGCCGTAGGTCGTCTGTCTCACAGTCCCTGAACCACATTATTTTCCCTACTACCAAGCCCTCTCTGCAGTGCTAAAGCCCTAAATAAAGCAAGTCTAGATTTCCTCAGGTTCTGAATCTCTGCGGTCTCACTAGGGCTCCTTTTCAATATAAATGGGCTTGTTTGTTACTATCAAAATTATATATATTCAGAGACTAAGCATTAGTCTTGGCCGTAGGTAGCTTTTCTTAACTCATTAAAGGCCGAGAGACGCACATGTGCAACAACAGAAATCACCTCTTATTCAGCGAGAGAAGCACATGTGCAACAACAGAAAGCACCTCTTATTCAGCGAAAGACACACATGTGTGTCGTACTTTTTAAAATCGCACTGTACCTATTATTTCAACCAGTTTAGTAGTACTGAGCAAATATTAGCTTTTCTTATGACAGATGCCACCGTTAGTGTCAATCAGAAGTGTTTTGATAGCAATTGCTAATCATTATCATAGGCTTATACAGCGTTTGGCAACTGAACACATTATGATGTTTTTTACAGAGGTAAGTGTCTGGTACTCTTCAATGGGAATGAATACTAAATCATTCTCTCTATTGGTGAAGGCCGTGTGGGATTAGTTAAAGGTCACATGCAACCAAAACATCAAACATAATTAAAACACAATTATCACTTCTTCATGACATATAATGTGCATTGCTGATTATGAAAAAACAAATAAACAAAATTATAAGCGTATAATCCCAAATCAAAAGTGCAATATTTTGTACTTTGGTTTACCTCCCTCGAAACGAAGCAGCCGGGATACCGAACCCAGTCAGAGCGGGTGGGTGTGCACTCAAGTGTAACGGCTGGTTCATTTGCAGATGCCGCTCTCATGCACGGCTCATTGTGTGTGTATATAAAGAGATGTTGAGTTTTGTAAATACATGCTCATTTTTTGTGTATAACATTTTGCAATCAACAGACATCATAACATGTCATGTGTTCAAGTATCACACCTGCCTGTCTGTGTAATAACATAATGTGACAGAGACCGAACTCGGGCCATAAATCAATGCGTTTTGTTTATGGTGTATAGCCTGATTGGTGTTAAGTTCAAATTGCATGTGGTCAGTGATCGCAGTTGTGTATTGAATATTGTCATTAGCAGACAGGCAGGCAGACACACAGGTGTCAATAAAACAAGACATTGAGTTTTGTCTGTGACAACGATATATCTATATCACAGTTAGAAATTGTGTCAACGCTAAATAATGACATTGCTTTTAAGTATCGAACTGAGAAAGTGACTCGGTAAGAAGAACGTGTGGTGAAATAGACAAATGAAATTATATAAACAGTTTATTTACTGTCATAACATATAAAAAGCTCGCGCCTGTGAGATATCAACAAAACATTAGAAAAATAGCTCACACCAAAGCCTTCACCGAGTATTCACCCGACAACCCGCTTCCAAGCTGCGCGAACCTATTTACTTGCGCACGTGCTATGAGCGCAGCCCAGCTGTTGAAACCCGTATTCCCCAGAAAAGTCTGAGGAAAATTAGTGAAACGTTTGAACTCCGATTTCGCGCGGTTTTTTTTCATCGCGTTATTTTTCAACTTTATAAGTTGAATTTGCATTTTTTGACGATTTGTTTCGCTATGTCCATACCGAAAGGTATCAGAATCTGCACAAACAAACCCAGGCGACCATGCCTCATAATCCCCTTACTCTTAAAATAAGCAGCTTGCCCGACTGGCAAAAGAGGATACCACCTAAACTACTTCTTATGCACATTGATTGAATTAGATGTAATGGTTTAGCGGTTACTGAAGATTATATTTTCTTCAACTTCAACTTTGTAACTAGTTAATTTCCATTATCTAAAGTTGATACTGTTATCTAATCGAATATAAAGTGACAAGTCGTGCCTTTGCATCGAATATATATACATGTCAGTGTTATTACAGCAATGAAATCTTTTACTACGTTTGTTACAAAACACAGTAAGTTGGTAATTCAAAAAAATTCTTAGACATACACAGAAGTAATATAATAAATTATTACATGTACACCATACAAAGGTATTTCAAGCATTTTTGTTCAAGCTGTTGAAAGTTTCATGTTGATTTGAATTGTCAGTTTTCTATACAATTTACATGAGCATTGTGTAAAACATTTGTATTTGATCTCTGCAATTATCAAATCCGGTGTAATTATCACGTGTATCAATGAACTCAGTCTCTATTGATCCATCGTCAATAAAAGCTGGATAGTATATCAGTTACGGTATCGATACACATGCGTATAATCATTCAATCAGACTACAGTAATGAGATAATTGAAGACCTCTTTCGACCTTGAAATAACAGCCTCCGGTAGAATGCATATGTAGTTACGCCCTTGTTGAAAGGTTTGTCCCGTGACAAGTGTAAAATAAACAGATGCGCTATTATATCATTGGACAGTTTGCTTTATGGAGTCACGCCGCTCTCTGTAATGTTTATGCATATATGCACAACTGTTATCTTATGAACCTCGTTTGCATTCAGTACAAATATAGGCACACCCATCTTCATAAAGATAAAGTTTATACAACATAATAATTCAGTATAGAGTCACTTCGTGAATTCTGTAATACGTGTACTTTAGTTGGGATATTCATTCGTATCAAGGTGAAGATTATATTTACATGTACAGCAAACCATTATGTTTTATGTACTAGTTGTGAGCCCGGGGAAGGGCTATTCACGTTCGAGGTCGCGAAGCACCCGAGGATTTATGGGGGTCCGGGGGCATACTCCCCTTGAATTTTTAAATCAGATGCTCTCAGATGCAATTTCCTTCTTTCTGAAGGGAAAAATGACTCCATTTATCTAATCTCCAATTTTGTACAAATATTATTTTTTCCATGATACGTTTTACCAGATTTTTTCATGTTTTTTAAAAAAAGTTTCTCTGTTCAAAATTGTAGCATCTGTACATAATGTTCTGAACTTAACTCTATAAATATGTTAAGAAATATCTATATTCATACAAAACATTTGTTTTGTTCAGTTTAAGTATTAATGAGTTATTAAATTCAGCGCTAGTTGACAGTGCAGAAATTGCACGTGAAATTTACATCATATACATGATATCTTCAGATTTGTCCAATATTTTTGAGTCATGTGGATTGAATGCAATCCTTTTTCTAATTAAGTCTTTTCTTCGTTAATTTTCATTAGGTATTGCAGTTTATAGCGTTCCGGGTAGTCAATGTCATTGCCCTGGATTCATTATTCCCATTTTTCTATTTATCGATGGTTGTTGTAATGGTATGTAATTAGGTGTATCATTCTATTACCGATCATCTGTCAGACGGGCTGCCCGTAACCTTTGCGTCATTAATTGAGGTGTGGATTTCAGGGCTGCGGTGAGGGTATACGACACTCAAAAGAATGTTATATCAATACATGTACCTTATTTTGATGTACAAAGATTAACCTGTAAAATCATCTACGGGGAGATGTGGTGGCTGTGCGTGTGTGAGGATGTAGATGTGTATGACTACTGAGAGCAATGGATTTTATCATTACATTCTTCTACTTCCCTTATATATTGACTTCAATGTACAAAGTGTCTAGTAGGCCTATATGCCTGATGTTACGTTTACCACGCTAATAAATTTGCTTATACTTTAACTGTAACATGTGACACTGTATTAAATCATTTTCTTCTTCTTCTTCTAAAAGTGGAAGAACCCATAATTAAGAAAAATATGGAAGCCACTCTAACCTTAAAGTACATTTACATTTAAAGCTTGCTATTAAAGCTGACATACGCCTGAATTGTCCTATGTTGTTGATATCTTTTAGCATGCTTTATTCCCACGTGGTGTCACACGCTTTCTCCACTACCACATTAAATACAATTACTACCACCATCATTAACATATACAGAATGCTGCTTCTGCCTCTATTATGTTTACCAAACTAACACAGTTAAAACATAACTTGATCAACAGCGAACCGCTCTCTACCGGCACGTTTGGCTTTACTTCAAGAAGCGGTTGAACATCCGCCGTTACTATACCTGTCCTCAAAGACAAATACACAAACTACAAGTGAGTTTATAGTTCTTCGGGGTCTCATGTGGCAATGCGTTTATTAGGATAAAATAATTATATGTCGCCACCAAATCGTAAAACCATAAACTTCATTCTCTATACATAGGGTTTACTCACTAGAAGATGACAACTGTGATGTTTAAAACAACAAACCAGTGGAGCGTGCAAGGATTTTCAAGCCGACTGCCTCTGGAGAACAATGGGGGTTATGTCTGATGTTAAGCACATGGGTGATACTAAATTGTTAACCGGTAAAAAAATGAAATACATCCACGAACCATTATTTACACCCCTTAAAATACATCTCGCATGATCCTTTTATTTGAAAACAAACAGTTTATATTCATTGAATGTCATTATTCTCATAAAACGTTTCTTTTTACAAGATCGCATACAAAACTATATATAAAAGCACTAAATTAAATACATTCAAAATACGTAGGAAAATATAGTTTTCATAAGATAAATAAATGAATTACATAGCTGTAAATTATAAACATTCAAACTACAACATTAATGCATTATTTGCAATCAAGAAGCATTTACTAGTATTTCTTGCAACGTCACACATTTTGCTGGAGTATCATCAGGAACGACACAGGCATGTCGGCGATGAGTAATCTGCTTCTGCGTGATGGCAATCAATAAGCAGTGATATCAAGGAATGGCAATTTATATCAATCAATGGCAATCAAGAAGTGGTAATATGAACATGATATCAATTCACTAAGTGAGTTGATAT